TCAACATCAACATCAAAAACAAACATAATTTGATAAGATATCCATACAAATTTATAGGGCTACTTTTTTTTTTTTAATTATCCCGCCAAACACATAAAAGAAAGGAGTGCTCAATTGGACAGATGTCCATATCAGCTTGTTTAATTGGAAAGATGTCCATATCCAAAAACAAACCCATAGCCATTTTTCATCAAATATAGCAAAATTAATATTTAATAAAATTTTAATAAGATTTTATTATAAAATTGATAATTTTTCATACAAAATTTTTTCAATCACTTTCTTAATAAAATTTTTTAAAAAAATTTACTTTTAACCAAATACACCTGAAGTATTTTAGTGTTTATCATGAAATACATAAATATGGTTATGATAACTAATCTATATATATATAAAATGCTACCCTATGCATTAAATAGGGTAAGCATTTTATATAGGAATCGCGATCTCACCCACCATCGACGGTTACTTTCCTTCAAAAGCCTGCTAGATACTCGCCTCCCTCCCGCTCGCCAACATCAGCCGTCTGATCTACATCTCACCATCTCACATCATGAATCTAGCCCCAATTGCGTCTTTTCACATTTTGTGGCATTTCCTTATTTATACAGTCGCCTCTCTCTTTTTCGTAACGGATACACTTCATTATATACATAACGGATACATATTTTTACATATAATTAATTAGCAGTAAAGATGAACATCATAATGGATATACTTTCGTTATATATATACTAAGCCTCTTGGAAATCTTAAATTATCTCCTCCATCATCCACCCCTACGGCCAGTTCTTTGTCACCGTATTCACCGGTTCGCCATTGGCAACTTCTTCATTTCAAAAAGGAGAACAAAAATGAGTTTCAGGATTTGATTGATCGTCATCATGGGTCGAAAGAAGACGAGGGCTAAACGACGTGTCCTCATTAAGAGCGATGACGAGGAGGAGGAAGACAAGGTGGTCATTGAGGAAGTTGTTGTAGTGCCCAGCATGGTTGTTAAAATCGCGATCTAAATCCTAAGATCGCACGATTTTACGATGTTAAGGGGCTTCAACGAT